AAAAGGCCAAAGGGGGGGGGAAGAAAGAGGGGCGGAGACTGTCGGCAAAACCAAGGACGGCAAAATGGAGCAGGCTGGGTTGAGGCACCAGAGGGGACCGGGCTCGTGGGCTGTGCAGTGCAAAAGTGGTCTGAGGCCTTTGGTCTGCCGTCCTGTCGTTCTCGGTGGGTTGCAGGGCCCGAGAACAAATAAGGAGCGTACGTCAAGCCGCCGATGACAAAAAGTGGGGGGCTGATGGGCGGGGCTTGGCGATGAGACTGAAGGTGTCCAAGGAACCTGGAACTGGAACTTGGAGCCTTGGGGCGTGAATCGACAACACGCTTCTTCTCTTCCTCCAGTCTCTCTGCCCGGCAAAACTCCACTTTGGCACCTCGAGTCTGGCTGGGCCATTGGCTTCGGTCCTCGACAAAAACTCACCAGCCACCCATGAACCAAGCATGCACTCGCTCTCATGTTGGCCGACAACGAGGATGATAATGGCCGCGACCATGTTCGACAAACCTCGGTTGTCCAAACCACCAACACAGGATTCTGAGTGCCCCTTGTTCGTGTTCGCTGAGGAGCTTGTCGTGGCCTTACTGTGCTCAATGCGGGATGGTCGAAAAGGATGATCCTCGCCAGGATGGAAGAGGAAACAAGCAAACAACTAAAACTCAACCGAAGACCATGGACATACACGTACCTTCTTTCAAGAAGCCAGAAATAGCGTCAAGAGTAGGATTGAGACAGCAATGTAATGTGTCGTGGTTGCTCAAGTGGCAGAGGGAATGAATTGCGAGCTGGGTGGACGGTATTCTGGTCAGTGCGAGATCGAGTGTCGGTGGTGGTTAGGAATCTGGTGGTCGCCCGGGTCGCCCAGGTCAAAGGAAACACGCTGCACACGACAGCGTAGACACTGCAGCGCTCCCTAGATCTCGTCGAACAGAGACTTGGGGAAAACTTGGATGGATGGAGGATGGACAGGGCGCGCCGTGAGACACTGCGACAGGCACTGGTACTGGACACTGGACAGAATTGAGGATGGACGAGAGAGGAAAGGGAATCGGAAAGGGCATAGCGGCAGCTGCCTGCCTTTTGTAGACAGAGGGCCACCTAGAGGGGCCACCCAACACCGCTCAACACGCCCAAGCCGCTGTGGCAGCCACGGGCGTGCCTGGGCCGTGATTGGGGGTAATGGCGGGGCCATGGCAGGGCCATGGCAGTCCCAGCGGCGGATCATTCTTTCCCCGACCTCACGAGTTCTGTGAGGGCTGCTGTCACTGGTTCACTGCGATCCACTCCGAGGGCCCCTAGACCCCGTTTTCGTCTAGCCCAGGTCGCTAGCGTGCCTCCTGCATCTTGCTAGCTGACTGACCACCACGGCTCTATGTCTCTTGATGCAACTTATCCGCACAAGTGCTCACCGGCGCACGCTTCAAGAGACACGCTCATCACGCAGCGCACACGTACCGTGGTCCGGAGTAGCTACCTAGGTAGATACCTACTTGTCGTAGTACTGTGTGTATGGAGTACAATTGCTTTTCCTCCCAAACCCAAGACGACCAACCTCTCTGCTTTTCCACATGCATTTCCTTTTCCAATTCTTCCACTTCCACTTCCATTCCTGTTTCAGACAAAATTCATCCCAGAGCCCAACACGGTATACTACCCGTACACGGTACGAGGTACTCTCTTCCATGTCCACCACGTCTCTTCCCCCAAATCCAACTCATCCACTCACGCCCTGCTGCTCCCTGGCTAGCGCATTCCTAGGAGCTTGCTAGCCCCGAGATTAGCAACACCGCCCTGCCTAAGGGCCCAGCTGATTCATCACCGCCACCAGAAAACCCATCAGCCATGGCCTTCCGTCACTCTCCTCCCACAAACATCCGCCTCCTACCACCATTTTCTACCTAATCCGTATAGCCATTGGGATTCCGTGGCATAGTCATGCTCCGTACATGGAAACGTCAAGTCAAACACAGTAAGCTCGCATATCCGGAAGGGTCAATGTCATGGACTTGGATGTGCTTTTCGTTCTCTCTGTCTGGTCTCTGGCTACCCCCATCCCGCAAATCCCCATTCACTTCTCCCTGCCCAGTACTCAACGATGTCGGAGTCCCCCGGCTTTTTTTGGGCTCTCATGACTGTGCAACCCGGCTCTACAGCTTCTGTCTAAGCTTTTCGGCAAATAATAAACAGGCCCAGGAGGTCGCTGGGTCAAGGTTTGTGAAGTGGCTCGGCCCACAACAGCCTCGTTTCCACTCCTTATTCATCATGCACATCATACTCCGGACACAACCATCATCTTCATGGAGGAATCTCCTGGCCCTTCCAATCCCAGCATTTCCCCCGGCTACTCTCCTCCAGGCCGTAGACGACGTCGATCAGCCTCTGCGCACTGAACTCAGGACTGAACAGCCTCTCTGGAGGGGTGCTGTCCCAAAATTCCCTGCTCAGGCTCGTTTTGACCGTTCCGGGGTGCAGCCCGACACACATGGCCTTGTGTCCACTCTGCATCTCCAGGAATATGTCTGTGGACTTGACCACTTGATTGACTCCAGCCTTGGAAGCCCGATAGCTATACCATCCACCTAACCGATTGTCCCCGATCGATCCGACTCTAGCGCTCATCAGCGCCAGGACGGCTGACCTGGGTAATGTTCCCTCTTCATACACCATCTGCGTGGACTTTCGCGGAAGGAAGCTGGCGAAATGTTTCACCAGCATCATGGGTGCGAGGAGGTTGAGTTTTAGCGTCTGCAACGCCCTCTCGTATTCGATCTTATCTGGCGCTCGTTCGGGTATCAACATGCCAGGAATCACGAACCCTATGCGTAGATGAGCGGTCTTTTCCTGGCGTTGCCGTTTGTCGTGGTACCGCTCCTGGCAGTACCGAGCCAGCCTGGAAATCGAGGGCTCGGAAAGCACATCGCACCCCTGCACGTCGAGGCGCGACGACTGTGACTCGGACAGCCCCGGCGACAAGGCAAGAAGCTTCTCTCTGACGCCGGCCACGTCTGAGCGCGCCGTCGCAACGACGGGCACGCTCGCGGGCAAAGTCCGAAGTAAGTGACCGGTCAATGCGAACCCAATTCCTCGCGACGCGGGAGTCACAAGTGCCCAGGCCATTATCATTCGCTAGTGCCCAGCCAGCAGTTCTCCGTCCTTGTCGTTGTTCGTTCGTCCGTTTGTTTCGTTCGCTCGCTCACGGTATCCTAGTATGTGTAGGTAGTAGACGACTATTGTGCTGTTCTATAGGTTGGGTACCTGCGTGGCGGGATGAGTGCGGCGTGCTATGCGTGTATATATAGATTCGTATTTACAAGCTGGGGGTGTTGGAGTCATGATGTGATTGATTGATAGTGATGATACTACGTAGTGATGTCCGCACAGATCAACCCAAACTCAAAACTCGAACTCCGTTCAAGAACGTGAATCTTGAACACCTTCCAAGATAGAAGACCGCATCGACAAAACACTCGAAAGGATGAGGAAACGAGTTTATGCCAGTTGAATCTCTGAATTCTCTGAATTTATATATCTGTCGTGTTGGTCGTACAATGTCAAAATATGTCAATGCTAGAAAAGTCCTTATTCAAACCCACCGCTCTCATTGCTTCCACAAAATTCTGGGCAATTTCAATGCACAAGCTTCACATATCAAAACCATCAAATCACAAAATCTGGCTCAGCGTGTGTTGGAAATACACAGCATCCAGAGATGGCTATGCCGCCAACCCGTCTCTTTCTGCCCATACGCCCGGGGAAAACAACATTCGAAGCCTCTGCCTCCCGTGCCTCTTGCCATTCTCTTTCACTTGTCTCCCCCCCAACCATCCAGCGTCTTGATCTTAGATTGGTCCAAATCCTCTCTTCTCATCAATGAGCCTGTATCGTTCCCTCTCTTTTCGATCCTTAATCAGACACAACGCAGCCAACAGAAGCATCATGTCAACAGCCACAAATCCAAAGAAGGTTGTGAAAACCACATCCAGGAATCGATTTGCGAACGTGCCGAAGGGAGTGATGCATGGGCCCAGTCTCGCCGCTGTCGCCGCACTGGTACAGGTCTGGTCTTTAACAAACAACGCCGGATTGCTGTATCCACAGCATTGGAACTTGGTCTGCAGCATCGTTTGAACGGCCGGAGTTTGAGCGTTCCAGATAGGGGCGAGATTCTTCTTGGTTTCGAGGGTGGAGAACCAGATGTCTAGACCAATGGCCAGAGTAAGGAGAGCGGCAATGACAATTCCCCAGGCGTGAACTTTCAACCACGTGCGGTTGCGCTGCATAAAAAAGGCCGGGATAGAGAGGAGGAAGGTGATGAACATAATGATCGAATTGACAACACTCACTATGCGGACGCAGTCATTAGTAATCCCCTAGGGATCAGGATACGGTGGAAGGGAAACAATACCTGTGAGCGGACAATGGTCGAGCAAGAGGTTAGACGCGACGTTATTGACGTTGTTGTTGTTTTTAATGTTCATGCGGGTATACAGTGGGATGAAGAGATGGAGGCCTGCGCAAAGGAGGAAAATGACATCGAACACGATGAAGACAAGGAGAATTTTGTTCGCCATTGCTGCTGCTGCTGCTGTTGCTGTGGATTCTCCTAGCCCCAGCAGGTGGTCAAGCTGTAGGGAACAGGTCCTTCGTCGTTAAATGTAAAGAGTGTCAAAAGGAAAAGACGAGACCTGCTCGAAGAAAGACGCTGTCGATCTAGTCGAGCGGGAGGAAAATGAACCTCTGGAAACAGAAAAAGTGAATATGGCCGAGGGTAGAAGAGGAAAGAGAATTGAAACGCACAGCGCCACAGATAAAGAGGAAGACGCAAGACCCAGGGCTAGGGAGACTCGAGTCTGTGTCAGGAGAGCTCGGTTGGTTGTGGTTGAAGCTTCATGGTCGCAAGGGGGCGCTTCAGGATACGCAGGCGTTTCAGACTTGCTCCACTGAGGGTACGTGTCTTTGGTCTTTGCCAGTACCAGCATCCCACCTAATAGCTCGTATCGAGAGGCCTACATGGCCAAGCTTCTCATGTAGTGGCATGTTGGCGCATATTCGTCAAAGAATTGCGAGACTCCGATGAGAATGGACGCAGGAGTGGAAAAGGACGAAGAAGATGGCGTGGCGGTAGCGACGGCCTTGCGGATTTTCGGGAACGGATTCGGCATGACTATTCTCCGGGATCGCTCCTTTTCACTCCCTCGATCCAGCTCGCCAGACAGTGCGAGCATGGTATTGGAGTAGATGTGGTGAGATTCATGGCCTATTGTTGCTGGTCTACTCGTCAAGAATTTCTTCATACTCGACATTACTCCTGTCGTGGGCTATTTCTCAACATCGCAGCCAGCCAGTTTGCAGCTGTACGTCTTTTTGGAGAACCGCCCAGCTTTCTAGGAGACACCCTGTTCCTTCGTCTATCGTATCATTTCCATGGTACTGTCCAATGGCCGACCATTTTCTCTCAATCGCAGCATTATAACAAAGCATAGAGATTGATTCCCTTCCCATTGTATCCTAGTGTACAGAATTCCCGTTATACATTACTGCGTCCGCGGTCTGGCCATATTCACCTTTGACAATTGGCAGCGGGCCGGATGGGTTTCAGCCCGTTGACCGATTTCCGACTAGAAGGGCTGCTTCGGCACTGGATGAACCGTGTTCTTGTGTGATCATCATGGTTGGCCATTCAAGCTGTTCCTGCCAGGCGTCGGGGATCGATTCCTTGACCGTTTCAAGCATATACTTCGCCCATCCACTAATGAACCAAGTGTCCTCGTGGTGGGTCTCTCCCCAGTAAATGAGAACGCAGTAGTGTGCGAGAATGACCATGGCTTCAGGCTGCTTCTCGCTCAAAAGATCGAGAAATTTGGGTGGAAGGTTGATTGGCCAGACAAATGTTGCCAGAACCGTGCCGTCACCACGGGTTTTTAGTAAAGAGGCTTGAATGAAAGTGCTGAGGAGTGAATGAATCGCCAGGTCAATGGCTTGCGCCGTCTCTTTGTCGTGTTCCGGAGAACTGCAGACTCGAAATAGCTTGGTGATCTGATCGGTATCGGGAAATCTGTAGGCTGCGATATTATCCATGTGCGCCATCTCATCCAGTAACGGCTTGAGAAAGCTGCCCCGGATTGTGTCGTGGTGCATGTTGAGTACTATGTTTGCCCCTCTCAGCAAATAGAACCAATGTAGCACATCATGGGTGAAGTCCTCGGGTTTGTCCTTCGCACTTGAAGCAAAGGCGAGCACGATTAACAGGCAAGAAAAGGCAAAAAGCGCCTGGCAGTTAGTTTCGTCGACACGGCTTAGTGTTTCTTGAAACTCGGTGAGACCAAGGCTTTGATGCGTCGTCCCGATCAATTCATACTCGGCCTTCCTGTCCGGATAAAGATAGGCAAGGTGGAACGCTGAGACGGCTAGGATGCCTCGGAGAAGGAATTCGTGCTTCAAGCCCAGCTTAACCGCATGGACTTGCCACAATGCCTGAGCTTCGGGAGTCTGGGCATTGGCCAGATCGAGGGCGACCACACTGGTGAAATGATGCATCAACCGCAGATCGGTCACATCCAAATCAGTACTCTTCTTGGTGCTCACGAGGTCAGGCTGCTGAAATGGATCGACCATAGGCTGTGTGGGCGTCCGCTGCGACCCATTGACGGAACCTGTTTGACTTTCCTGCCTTCGTACATCTGGGGCAGTGTTGCTGGGAGATTTGCTGCTCCCAGGCGACGCCGAGAAATCGCAGAATATTTGGCGACGTTCGCAGTTGTTACAAACCGGATGCACCTCATTACACTGCGAAGCGAGATCAGATCAGCACTTTCCGGTGCATGTTCGATCACCCTGACCTTGATTCGCCGGACCTTGCACTGACTGCATCCGTTCTTGGATTTTGTGTGAGAACGTCGCTGGTTCTTTGGCGGCATGAGAAAATGCGAACTATCAACAGCAATTCAGTCCGTGGGCGGTCGTGGTCCGTCGCCTGTCATGACAATAGCATCAAGTTTGTGACTGTTGAGCTGACCCTTGAGAGGGCTAAATGTTTGGTCGGAAGATTACGCCTAAGCCATGCGCTTATTATAGAGGAGTGTGGTATCCAGACGGGCGCGAGATGTACAGCGTGACAGTACTGCAAAAACAAAGCGATTGAAGAACGAGAACGTTGATTCTGGACACGAACGGAAGCGGATCAGGCTCCAGAATTTCAGCAAATAGTCACTTCATCCCATTCGACCAAATTGCACTCTGACTGCCAAGCGGCCACGTTTTTCTGACTCAGCACAAGCTGCCAATTGATCACTAAATATCTGGCCCCCCAAGTTGCCGCAAGCAGGTCAGAGATTCCAGCGACGTGCTCGGTACAAGAATAGGTCAAATATCACCAATTCTTGGGTCTACGTGCCTTGTTTTCCCGCTGCCTCTTCTCTTTGAGCACAGTCCTGCGTCTCAGCTTCCAAGACCGATTGTTTTCTGCCCGATTTTCCCAGAATTTCTTCTCGAAGTCACTCTGGGGCCGGGATGTCCGCTCATCAGCCTTTTCCTGCAACACGGAATTAGCGCCAAGCCCAGCTTCGCCTTCTCCCTCTTCACCATCTCCCTCCGGTTCATCTCCTGGTAGTCCAGAGCTGCCATAGCTGTTGAACCGGCTTGGGTGAGCCGTGTCAGGCGTGGGAGCAGCGCTCCGTAACCCACGGTAACGGATGTCCTGAGAGCTAAAAGGTGTCAATGGGATGCTAGGCTCGTCTGCGAGGTCTTCAGGATTTCCGGAGTCGAAAAAGGAGAACGACGTCGATATCTCCAAGGACGGCTTTGCAATATCTTGTGAAGCAGCCGTTTTCGGCTTCTTAAAGAGAGCCTCCAGTGGATGCAGCTCCGGTTGTGAATTTGCCTCTGAGTTACCATGCGGTGACGCGCTCATGGTTGTTTCTTCCTCGGATTCCGAGTTGGATGAAGAATTCGAACTGCTTGCTTCATCATTTTTCTTGACCTTTTGAGAGTTGGAATCCACCTCAGCTTCACCAGTGTCTTCAGCCGAGGAGGAGGTAGGCTGTTCAGAAGGTGGACGTGGCCACTTTGCAATTGTGCGATCCAACTGAGCTCTCAGCTTGACTCTCTCACAGCGCTGGGAAACCCGCTCGTTTTCCTTCTCAACCACCTGTCCTTCTTCGTCGACCCAACCTTTGCCCTCAACGTACCGTAGATTTCCTTTGACTCCTGGTCCGATATCTTGTTTAAGGAAGGATGGTTGCATGGTCGACTTCTCGAACTCGTGCACTACATGGTGGGTGCTTTTCTTCTTCGACTTGACCTTCTCCTTCTTCCCTGCATCTACACCGTCAAGTTTGTTGGGAGGTACCTTCGTCCGAAAGAGTGCCTCAGCTTTATCTGTATATTTTGAGCTGCTCGAGACAGCCTTGCTTTTGGTCTTTTTGCCCGACTTGGTAGACCATGGTTCTGTCCAGCCACGCTTCACTCTCCGGTCCGCAGGGAGCTCGTATCCTTGGATGACATTGCGATCTTTAGATTTCTTCGTCTTCGTTCGCTTAGCTTCTGCGATGGGGGGGTCCTCTGTGCTCACATCCTCGACCAGCCTGCGCTTTTTTGGCCGAGCTTCTTCAACTTTAATCTTCCTGCCTTTCAAGATTGCTCCATTGAGCTTCTTTTTAAGTTTATCCGCTTCCATGGCGGGGAGGTCGAAGTAGCCGTAGTTGTTCTCGGGAGATGTCTGGATTGTGTGGTAAGACAAATTGGCTACTAACTCGAGTAGATGCGGCCCAACAACGACCTGAAGAAGATCAGGATCCAAGGGCGTTACATGTAGTCGCGTCAGGTCAGAGACCATCGCGAATTCATACACCAGGCGCTCGCGATGGGAATTGGCCGAGAACAAGTGCTGGAAGATTTGGCGCCCTTGGGTGCGCGGGCATGTACTTGTAATGAGGCTGGATGAAATTTTTGGAGACACTGCTCGGCAGCACGAGGACCCGTGCGCCCAACGAATCAAGCCAAAGCTTGAACGGTTCAGGCACAAAGTGTGGTTAACGGGCTCGCGGGCTCTTGGGCGTCTCCAAAAGCTTGAGCGTCCTAGGTGATGCGGGGGCTAGTGAGGCCCCGAGGCTTGAGCCACCGCCGATGAATTGCAGATTTAGGGAAAGACCCTCCCGCGTATTAGGTATCAGGTGGGCACTGGACAGCCCAGCAGATCGCCCGCTGGTGCCACCAGTGCCTCCGTATCGTTATCGTGGAAGCTCGGATAGCTGCCACCCAATCCTGACATTTCACCATCCAGCTTCTGCGTTTCCCCTCCGTGCTCACACTCCCCGTCTCGCCGTGCATCATCCTGCTTCTCTCCTAAGCACCCTGCGTCAGGCAAAGCAAGGCACAGCAAGTTGACGTCGCTGCAGCGAAATTTGCAATCCCTGGGCTGACTGGTCTGGTCTTGGATCTTGGTTGTCCTGCGCTTTCACTACTGCACGGCATAACTTACTGCGTGCATGTACCATGTCCCAGTTTATTTCATCTCACATGGTTGTTTTGCGAGGTCACTGATCACTCCACACCCGTTTTGCATCAGCTTCCTCGTTTCACGGCACAATTGCCCATCAGATCTCAGTTACTGTCTGGCACTTCTTTCTGACTGAACGCTCCGCTGTATCCGAACCGTGTCCTAGCTCCCCGAAAGGACCTACACCGACCGCGGCATTCGAAGAGGAACAAAATCTCACACCTTCCCAGGTTGCCTCCGGAACCGCAGGGCACACCTAAAATGTGGCGATGATTGAGCAGGTCGGTGTATCCCAGAAGCAGGAGGTTGCCCATTGATCCAGGAAACAATCCACCATGGGCAATTCTCAGACGAAGGAAGCACGTGGCCACGGCTCCTCTGGCTCACGGGTCAGTGGTAGTACGAGCCCGACGGGACGACAAAATGGACAACAAAATAGCCTGGAAGCTCCCCCTCGACCCGCTCACTCCCGCCAACGGAGAGGCAGCCGACCCGACTTCTCCTTCCTCGGCATTGGTGGAAGCAGTGATCAAGATGCCTCCTCACTCGAGCAACGACGCGAGACTAAGGTGGAGAGGGAGGCTAGAAAGGCAGAAAAGGAAAGAGCCGCAAGACTCAAGGAGCGCGAGCGCAGCATGAAAGAAGAGCACGTTGATGGAGGATATCTAGTGACCCAAGGCGTTTACGTGGGTACGGAAGACTTCAACAAAGCAATTGTCCGGCAATTCATGGTAAGACAATGTGCCTTTCTAAAGGTGTAAACGGTAACTGACGTGCTTCAGATTGAGAGACGACTGGCTCCGTTCTGGAGAGGTCTGAATGATTTCTCGGATTCGTGGGCGGAGCATCAACTTATGGCTGCCGCCCGAGGCATGCCTATCCCGCCAGCGGATGAAGTGCCTCCAGAGCTTGAATACCAGCTTGCGAAGAGGATAACCACGGACAGGAGCAAAGAATCTGCACTCAAGAGCCTGACAATACCCATTGGGGGGAGATCACAATCCTTCCAGTCAGATAGCTCAGCGCCCCTGTCGCCACCTGCCAATTCCTTACCACTTCCGTCGCCCTCCTCGCCGCCACCGTCCGGCTCACCAAGCGCCAGCACCTTTCGAACCCGGGCGAAGACATTAGCTTCTTTGGCGACCTCATCGCGGGGTAATTCTCAGGTAGATATGACCCCAAGAGAATTCCAGCTGCCTCCGGATCCTTTCGTCAATGGACAACCCATCGAAGTCTATCTCTACAAGGACGCATCAGAATGTCCAATCTGCTTCCTATACTATCCCCCGTACCTCAACACCACCAGATGCTGTGAACAGCCTATCTGCTCAGAATGTTTCGTGCAAATCAAACGGCCTGATCCTCACCCCCCGGAACACGAGCAACCAGATCCGAATGCGCCACCTGTCTCTGACGCCGAGCGTGAAGCACAGGCGGATGGTTTGCTTGTTTCTGAGATTGCAACCTGCCCGTATTGCAAAACTCCCGATTTTGGCATTACTTACACGCCACCTCCTTTCCGTAGAGGGCTCACTTACGGCACTGGATCTCAGCCATACCAGGTCATGTCGGCCATGTCCTCTCAAACCTCAATTTCTTCTGGAAACTTATCTCCAGGGCCTGGGCGAAGGCGAGGAACTTCTCTGTCTGCAAATGCTCCGGAGGTCATCACAACAGATAAAATCCGCCCGGATTGGGCGACGAAGCTGGCAGCTGCTCGGGCCCACGCTGCCCGACGGTCTGCAGCAGCCACTGCGCTGCATACAGCCGCATATCTCATGAATGGGCAGGGAGCCGATTCACGGGCTTTCGCGGCATTTAGCCGACGCGGTATGTTGAGGCGGTCCACCTTAGAAGGTGGCGAGAACGGCCCAAGTTCGAGCTTGAGTTCACTCACAATGCTTGCGGAGAGACACGCAGCGCGGCAGCAGGAGGCTGTTGGAGAGACCCGCGCAAGCTCTTTCTTGCCTCCACCACGCGGCAGCAGTTCCCGGCGAAGTCGCATGGACGACCTTGAAGACATGATGATGATGGAAGCTATCCGTTTGAGTCTGGCATCCGAGGAAGAACGTCGTAGGAAGGAGGAAAAAGAAGCCCGCAAAGAAGCGAAGAAGAAAGAAAAGGAGACCAAGAAGGCCGAGAAAGCGGCACGGAAGAACAGTCTTTTCACAGTCAATTCCACCGGTAGTAACGGGGATGCATCGAGCAGTCAGATGGAAAGGTCCCGAAGCAATCTGTCTCTCGGCCAAGACGATGACTCGACAACCAGCAAAGGCAAAGGGGTAGAGCGGACTGATACCCCTCCTATAGAAGGTGCCAAGGTGGAGGACGAGGCTCCGCGGCCATCTTATATTCCAGCGCTGTCGCTGTCTGGAACCAGCCAAGAGTCTTTGGCGAGCTCCATCCCAATCCCTACTGCGGCCGAGCCATTCCGACGCTCTCATCTCCGGCAAATGTCAAATGCCTCGTCGACTTCCTCTTCATTTGTCGAACCAGGTCCTGCAACTTCATTTTCAGGCTCCGGTACTCCCCCACCAGGAAGTCTCGAGCCTATGTTCAATTTCAGAAGCCTGGCTGCGATGATTGGAGAAGATGAGAAAGGTAATGACAGTGCTCATGTCGAAAACGCTGCCAGAGACCAATCGCCAAAGTTCCGTGAAAATGCCCGAGAGAAGGGCTCTCCGAAAGTTGGCGAGAGCTGGGACCAACACGATTCGGACCCTTCTGCGTCTTCGGATTCGTCTCCGAGGCGGGAGAGTGATCCAGACCCGACAGCGGCAAATGGAAAGCCTGTCACTGAACCATCAGCCAGTGTATCCCATGTATGAGTGATATCACTCGGCAGATGAGCGAAGGACGCGCATTTGGTGGTAGGCAGAAGGCAAAAGGCAAGCGCTTGCCCCCAGCTTCTTGCAGGGAATGATGGAATGTGTTCTTGTTTGGATTTTGGAGGTCATGTCACAAACGTCGGCTCATGATCGTGTCAACGCGTTTTCAGAGATGGACATCGAGGGGTATGCAAGGGGCAATGGCAATGCAATGATTCAAGGGCCCATACAGGCTTGAAGGGGGGCGGCATGATGAAGTCCAATGAATCCTGGCCCAAGATATAGAAATTTTGACAGATATTCACGAGCGTTTCCCGTACTCATCACACGCTACAATTTTCCCTTTCGCGGTGGCCAGCTTCTGTTGGCTTCTGCTGACTCTACAACCTTGGAATAGGCCGTTAAAAGTGCTCTGGCCATGAATTGTGATTGGCCCCAGGCGACGCGACCTCGTGGTTTCAACTTGGGCAAGGAGAATTAAGAGGACCAAGAGGACCTGACACCTAAGACCTGAGACCTGCTTCGTTGGCCTTCCTTTGAAACCACTCATTCCTTCCCACGTCTTGTCCGGTGTGTTCAGTGCTCAGTGCTCGCCTCACCTATACAGGAAAGGCCATTGAAGGCAGCGCCCGAGTCTAGCCCATCAGCCTCGCCCTACAAAACCGTCACCTGCCATTGACCGCATCCTTCGACTTCCACTCCTCTTTATATACATCTGATGGCCAGCCGGTAGACCTGACCTGCAGCACACATATTCCTCTCTGACACCTGTGTCGACAACTACTGCAGAGCTGCTGTCTTACCCCCTACGTGAAGATGCCCGACCTGAACTCGATTCCAAGATCGCCGCGGGGTGTTTCAAATCCCCAGGCTCCAGGGACGACAAACGCTACTGCACCACAGCCTCCGTCCGTGTCTGCGTCGAGGAGAACTTCGACACAAATGCTGCCTCCGCCGCTCCCTCAGAATAACAGTCTTCCAAGTTCCCCTCGACCGGCACAGGTGGTTATGATAGACAATACAGGTGTAGGTCTAGGCCCAGGTCAGTGGAAAGAGAGCAGCATCAATTCCCACCACCCAAGGGTGATCAACTGACAATGCATCAGGACCTATCCGACATCCGCGACCTCTCACGGCCGCTGAATTACATTTAGAACTTGAAAAAGAGCAAGAGAGCATTGTAAGCACCCAGTGCTCGCAAAGACGATGGGGTGCAGGAAAGAGAAGACTGACGGTGGCGGCTACCAGGTGAATCGACTCACGCGAGAACTCTCTGCTCTACGCGCCCAAACAGCCTCTGTTGCCTCCACCACCTCGTCCACCTCTGAGCACTTTTTCTCTGGCGACCCCTACAACACAACCACAACAGGAACCACAATCATCCCTACAACCACTCGCCGTCACCGTTCCTCCTCGAACCTTTCCACTCGTTCGGCTCGCTCGATCCGGGAAAGTCTCGCTAATGCCGCCAATACCAGCGTCTCCGGCGTGGCTGCCCCTCGAGACCAAAGCGTCCAGGCCAGCGCGCGACCTAGCATGGAAATGAGCAGGCCGGACATGAGTCGGCAGAATTCGACCTCTGCATCAGGATTCCGATCCAGTTCGATCACTTCTTCACCGCACTTGACCCAGGGAGGGTACGCATATCCTCACCGCAGCTCCGTGTCGTCAACGATGGACGCCTCATCTGTTGCGCCCCATGCCGCAATGACACGCTCTCCAAGCTCCAACGCAGCTATTGCGCAAGCGAGGTATGAAGAGGCGGCATTGCAGCGGGCGGAACTTGAGGCAGTAAAGCGGGAGAATGAGGCATTGAGGGCCAGGGTCAAGGATTTGGAGAAGAGTTTGCAGAGGGCCAACGAGTTGGCGCAGGCGACGACGACTACATCGTGAGTACTCGAGGCTCCTAGATCACTGCCTCTATAGAGCAGGCAGGCAGGAGGGCAGTAGGTCAAGGAAGACTGGTTGCAGATACTCAGATGTGAGGGAGTAAGCGGAAGGAACCACATGATGAATCAAATGATGACGACGAACGAGCAACTTGAGATGACGATTTTGCTCGCCGTACAAGGACCACTTTTCAAACGGAGGGAGACTTCTTCAAAGGAATGATGGACGAACTTGAACCCAAGCATGCATGGTGTTATAGGCGTTTATTTTCCATCTGGTCCAACTTGCTTCTTGGGGCTCGAGGTCCAGCAAGAATATTGCGGAGGTGGCAAGGACCTTAGAAACCATGGGATGTCGCCGCGAGATATACTTCAAGGCCATTCCTTGCTCGATAAAGAGCGGAAATGGAAAACCAGGTTTCAATATTTTGAGATAGAGCCTCGCCCCTAAGGATACTTGGCCATCTTTTCCGAACGTCCTCTCTTCCTTCCCTGGATTCTCTCTTCTCCCCGTGAAATCTCGGTTTCTTGGTTCCTCCATTGCTTTCTTGCCGTTCATATTGGAAGGAACTCGAGTCTGCAAATGTTGTCTTCCTAAGGGGGCCTTTTTGTGCAACTCTGCATCGTGGCGGGGTGTTATAAGACAACGAGCGGTCGGGACTAGGCGTCCAAGGCGGCCCTGTGTCACCAAATCGCCGTCTGTCATGATACACACTTCCTTTTCTTTGCGGCGATGGCCTCAACATTGGTATTGTTGGTTGACCATTGCAAGTCATCGAGAGGACACTCAGGCAGGCGCAGAAGAAAGCGGTGTGTGTTTGGCGACCTCACTTGGCATCGGTCCCGCGCCAGCCGCTTCAGACACACCAGACGTCTGACGGGCGCGTCCATTGTTGCTGAGGATTCAATATTTGCTGGAGACTTTGGACCTTGTCGGTGTAGGCGGACAAGCTAACCGTCAGGGTGAGATGAGACGGTAGAACTCCGTCTAACAGGTTCAGTGGCTGAGAGGATCGTTTGTAGGCTGCTCGGCTGCCTGTGCGGGATGGCTGGTGTCTTGCGATAGATTCCATTGAGTTGAAAGAGCTTCGTAGCAGAGGAGGCGAGATGGTTCATTAATGGAAGGGAGTATTGCTGCTTAGACCATGGTCGCAAACCTCACTTCAACTCCAACAGCCTCGTCGGTTCCTGTGCCGTCTCCTCCTTGACTTTCTGCTTTCCCGCACCCACCATCTCGTCCACCTTCTCCTTTCCAGCATCCACCACCTCCTTCACCTTGTCCTCAACCTCCTTGCCAGTCTGCGAATTCCTCATTCTCGCCCAGACATTGCCCACCTTCTCTTCGACCTCTTCCCGCACGCCCGACCAGTCAGTGTCCTCGACATTCTTCACTAACCTCTCCACCTCCCTATTCCACCTGTCCTTGAGCTCTTCTACTAATCCGGCTCGACGGACTTCGTATGCCGGGGGTTCGGGCAAGGGGGGTGCGGGGTCCACAACGGAGTTTAACAGGGTGGCTTGTTGGGACAAAAGGGTGCGTTGAACATTACGGTTTGCGCGGTGGATGTATAGAGAGATGTAGAGAAGGGAGTAGGTTAGTGTTGCGCCGCCCAGCTGTTCAAATATCTGGTTAGTATTCTGGACCTTAGTCTGTAGGGGATCGACGGAGAGAAGAGGCGGTGCTGCTCACAAAGCCCGTTGTAAAGCCCATTTGGGGCGTTTTTCCAGAGCTCGCGAGGTTAGGTCTGGTTGGTAGAGTGCGGTCGACGTAAGATTGTCGAGGGAGATGAATAAAGGGCGGTCAAGTGCGAAAAGAGCTCTTGTGTCTGTTCTGGTTTAAGATTCTACTTGTTCCGATTGCCACGAAAGAAGCTCATTGTCTCCATTGATCGGAATCGAGCTCTGATATCAGAAGCCTAAATTTGGAGATATATGCTCTGCCGTTCTGGGGCACCACTCAATACGGTGGACTATTGCAGATAGCATGTGCTTTCGTCTCGTATCAACCAGTACCCAGTACCGGGCATTACATCCAACACAAGCCAAGCACAAGCTCACTACTTCGACAAATATCCATCTTGAATCGCGGTCAAGGGGAGCCCTTCAGGGACGTCTATTACCATCACTGAAGCCTTCGAAGAAGCTCCTTACAGCCAGACTTGGCCCGCCAGCCATCGATTACACTGTTGCGAACTGCCTTTCGCACATGGTCCGTGCAGGCGCTGATATCAGTGCAAAACTCTCATCTGCTCTCCCCTTTACTGGTGGAGATGCTGTTTCTTCATGGACAGAAGTTTCTGCCGCTATTTGAGGGAGTGGTTTGATCAACATTGACCCACAACAAAAGAATATTGCGCTTTTGCTGCTGTCAGCCTTCTCTCGTGCTGCGGCTCCGATCCTTTGAGATAAGGAGGCTGTTCTGCTTCTCAAGCGACTAAATTTCCAATGTCGGCAAACACAAACGAGCACGAAGTCAATGTTCAAGGAAAAGTATTGAGCTCGGCGACCCGGATGTTGGCCACAACCAAGAGGGGCCTGAGCAAGAGCCCTCACTAAGTACTCCGTACGTGCCGGTCAATGGTAACGAATCAACCTGCAGGGAGGACGACTTTGTTGGTTTCGGTCTTATAAACCTCCAAGGACAGAGGTACCCCAGCCTCAGAGGACGAAGCCACCCTGACGGATGCATCGGGTCGTCTCGGGTAAAGTTTACTCCCGCACGGATCCTCGTTATCTGGAGCAGTCCATGGAAATGGCCAGGAACGCCTGGTTTGGTAGAGCACATTGCGTGCCGTCAAATCATTAGATATGGCAGCAGCAAAGTGGTGGCGTTTAGGCTACTCGAATTGGTATCAGCAGTAGGTGTTTATTGCGCACTGGTCGCCCCATGGCCAGAGCTTGATTTGACCACAAAGCCTAACCGGAATTTGCAGGGCTATTGGTTGTCCCAGACGGGGTTTGAGCCTTCAGGACCATCTAATCCAATTATGAGACTTTGTCTTGGATCAAGTGACCGCAAGCCTCAGTATAGATGGGCGCTTTCCCTCTACATCGATCGACAGTCTTTGATTGGGGACGGGTCACTGGTGTCCTGTCTCACCTCCTCTTTCTATATATCTCCCTCCATTACCTGCTTGACCACTTCCAGGCCGTTTTGTCTACATTCTGGTTCATCAGCAGGAGTGGCTTCCATACCATTCAAAACGGCATATCACCCTCATGAACAAACAAACCTGGGTTCCCTGTCAGAAGGGGGAGGAAATGGTCAAACTATGGAAGGCGGAACCTGACAACCAAGCAAAACCGACTATATCCTTCGATATACTTGAGCAACAGTACTGGCTTCCGGGAGAACACATGCGGGGGTCTGTCGTTGTCAAAGTGCCATGTTCAGCAACCATCTCCAATGCGAGAATTGACCTCGAAGGTGCGCGAAGCCGTATGAAGTATAATTCAAACTCCGCTCACGAGCACGCCGCTACAGGCTTGTCACTGATACACATTATCAACAAGGATCGGAGCACGAGATTTTCCGCATACAAAGTATTGGATACGACGCTTAATTGTGGTCTATCAAAGCTAACACAAGATCAAGTTTCTCTCACAAAACCACGACGTGCGTTCCATCCATAAGGTCAACGATGAGACCCGGAAGTCTGGCTTTTCAACTTATCGAATCCCGTTTGATTTCATGGTATCCCGCACAATATCAACGAACGCAGACAAATCACCAACAAAGAGTCTTGAACTCCCCCCTACAATGTTAATTGGTACAGCCATCTGGAGTTACGACCATCGCAGAGTTTTCGCGCAACCTAATATTTCTTATCATTTAGTTGCTAAAGTTGTGCTTTTTGATCAATCGACATCAAATACGTGGATTTTGAGGGAAGAAAGGCCCGTCAAGATCTGGAAGACGTCGTCAATCATGCCACCAATCAGCCTCGATGACTTTGCTGCAGAATACACAACAGTTGCCGAGACTCAATGTGCCCTCCGACCGCTGGACTCGCCCAAACTTCGCTTCCGGGTATCAACCACAGAACCAGCCGCAATAGCATTCAGTTGTCGGAAATCGGCTCAAACGGCCAAGGTGTATCTAAGTGCTCGCCTTTCACGACCAACTTCATACATGGATGAACGCCGCTTTCGTAGACTCCTTGCCAAAATCAAGATCCAGGTGCAACCAAGTCTACGAGGGAAGACATTCTACAGTCCAGTCACCTTCGAGAAAATCCCAGGCCAGACGATGTTGACTCCAATGAGCAATTGCCGGATGAACGATGAGGAGGTTCTGCTTGATGCTGTTATGGGTCTTCCTGTCAATCCGGCCGCGGCCGAGGAGAAAGACGAAACAGATCAAGACCATCAGAACATGGAACCGGATGCCCATACACATGCTCCGAAGCTCGATGCAGTCTGGCATGGCCACTTCTGTTGCTCTCTAACCATTCCGCACGGGCTGGTACCAACATTCTGGAGCACCACGGCAAGTCAACAGTACAGTTTACTGTTAGATGTGAAAGTTTCTGGCATCAAATTACAAGGAAAACTCAGGCTTGAAGTGCCCCTGCAGATATTTTATGATTTGGGACCTATCGCAACGCCTTGTGGGCCACTGTGTCGACGTCTGAGGAACGAACAGACGGGGCGACCGCTCAGGGATTGGGAGGAGAGAGAGGTTTGCACAACGATTGTCATGCGCGATGTAGACGAGGGGAACCCGCCTATTTATGTTTGATTGATGATGACTTAAAACAAGCGGTGGTGTCCGGGTTGATCGATAATGTTCAGCACTATGTACACGACCGCGCGTGCGCACCAACACACATATACAGCTTCGCTTACTGCAGTGCAAAAACTTGGCTTGTGAGAAACCCCCGCAAAGGAAATTTATTTTCCGATTTCCATGTCATTCGGTTGTCTTGATCACACAGTGCAGCTGCTCCCATCTTACAGCTTATTCATGATCTGATTAATCCATGTCATAGCTCCAGCACACTTAGACAAGGGGGAAGGGGGAAAGGGGGAGGGTGGAGAGTTCTACTGGCTGCAAGTTGGGGATGGCACCGGATTTGTTGAAAGACTGTGGACAAGCCTTACTGCTGCACTGGTAATCACACCGGTTGAATGTTGACACAAGTTTGTCCTTTGATATTGATATGTATTCTATTGTTGACGTGACCCACACTAGAAAGATATGAGCAGCATGCTCTGTGAGTAGGTGAGGCAGTAAATGAAGGATACTGGGTGCGTCGTTGATGCAGCCTGTGGCCTTGTGGCCTTGTAGCCTTGTAGCCTTGTTCTACCACAACACAGAAGGCCCACTAGCCTGATGGTTAGGGGCTGGGGAGCGACAACCCCGGTCGTGCAGTATAGCTGCCCACTCTCCCTCCTTGGGCATGTGCAGACAGCGCCCTCAAATACTAAGGGAAACCGGAAACAATTAAAGCCACATCGAACATGGCAACTTGTACATTTTGTCCGTATAGGATTAAACACGATTGTCAGGTCGCACGCTACTGGTAGTCTTGACATTGGGGGTGCCAGTCGAGAATATGATTTGGACCGGCGACATTCATCGGTGACATGGCTCGAGAGCTCGAATTCATCCTTCAAGGCGCTATCTCGACCGCTCGCCGCTAACAACCTTCGGCTGATTACTTTGGATCCTGGTTATCAGTGGAGTCAGATTGAGGCCACGCTGACCAATTTTACCCTGGGTGAGGCTCCAGACTATGAGGCTCCGTCTTATACTTGGGACCCAAGAAAAGTTTCAGAAGGATACAAGTCAACGGAATGCTTGTCGATGTCCGGAAAATCCTATGGCGTTTTCTCCGGCGAGTACGCCGTCGAGCTACTGATCGCATCGTCTGGGTTGACTGCCTGTGCATTAGTCAAGTTGATCTGACAGAGAAGTCAGAGCAGGTCCGCCTGATCGGAGATATCTTCAGAGGGGAAAAGGTGTTCTAGCCTGGACGGGAGAGCACGATACAAGCAGCCGTCATGTTTTCAAATCGCTGTCCGGAAATTCTTCATCAGCCTTCCTGCCAGTCCTGTCCAGCCAGTTGTGGCTCAACTTCGAGAATCGTAACTATTAGCGCAGGACTTGGATTGCACAAGAAATAGCTCTAGCAAAGCGTGTGCACATCTTGTGTGGTGATGATGCTGTGGATTGGGTGTGTACTCGAATTCCCGCCCCAGTCAAGAGCACACAAACGGTGGAGTTTTCGACGCATCTTCACCCTCTCATTTGCTGGATGCGCTTGGACAACAATCCCCGGTCCGATGGGGCGGATTCACACGATTGTACTTGATTAGGACTCTCGAGAGATCCAAAGAATGGCAGGGCCATAATGTGGTCAACACGCCACGGGATGCAGAGGCCGACAGCCCTCCTGCCATGAACCGGCAGCAATGCAATCTCAGCAATTTGATACACCTTGTCAGATGCACGCGCTGCGAGGATCCCCGCGACAAGATCTACGCACTACTTTCGCTCGAGGATCAGGCGGTGAGAGAAGCTCATCCGATTCTGCCCAACTACAAACTCCTCGTCTGGGACCTATTCATCGATGTCTACGTCACAAGGCTGTATGAGGACATAGCAACCGACCGAACTTTCGTCAAGGGCCTCCTTGCTGCGCTTGAGCTCAGAAAGCCAGGCTGCGGCGGATATCTTCAACGCAATGGCCGTGGTGGGAGGTATGGGTTTGGGATGGTGGCATGTGTGTTCTTTGAAGCGCTGAAACTGAAGGGCCTCAGAGTGCGCAATTGCCGATGGCTTCTCCCAGCCATTCAAGTCTTCTACAATGAGGACTTACTTGGTACACGGGAATCAGAAGCCACGAAGGCCGCCGAATCGTTCATCTGTGACTACAATAGGCATATGAGTTTCTTCACAACTGATTGGCGCTGGCTACCCACTCGTTTGAGGTGCCAGGCAGTCGATTGTGACTGGTGGCGGCATGATGACAACCCAACGACGCATTTGCGGATAACATCTCGTAGCAGAGGCTGAAGGCTTCAGAGGATATCCGGCGGCGCTATCGGGACCCAACCTGCGAACTCATAGCCAACACGGCGAGCAAGCTTCTGACGGGTGGCCCTGGATACGCTTTGATATTGGGGAAGACTAACCAACGTCCCAGTCCCAGACAGCCTTGTGTGGGCACAGGAGCCATCCCTCGACCTTTGGGGCTTGCTGCCGTTACCATTGAGTATTTGTTTTTGCGACTGAAAAATCGGCTTATACCATCTGTTGAAGATTGAAATATGAGTTCAAAGCCGTCCCTGTCAGACGTGGTGTCGGATCAGACTTTCGACTGAATTGCGTATCAACGACCCCATGATCTGCCGTATTACTCTGGTCGTCTCTCTATACTGTGGATCATTCGGCTTGTCCAGAATTCCGCTGCCTCGATTGAACAAAAAGCTTTCCTTTGGCAAGGAATCCCAAGGGACAGCGGAGAGGACGTTCTGGCAGACCATTGACGCTTTCTACTGACACCATTCGCTCTCGCTCAGGCTTCGCAACCGAACCATATCGCAATGTTACAATAAGGCCTAGCATGAGTCTAATCCTTTGGAAACCACTTTAGTCTACCCACGAACGACGACCTGAATCCAGCACACCCTCGTTAACGAGGCCTAGCCTCTATTTCCCTCTTCGCTTTCTTTCCTGAAAACCCACAATGTCCACGCTCAAATACCGCCACTTGGGCCGCGACTCGGCCCACCGGCGCGCCCTCCTGCGCAACCTCGTCACCTCGCTGATCGCCAACGAATCCATCTCGACCAGCTGGCACAAGGCAAAAGAGGCGCAACGGCTCGCCGAGAAACTCATCACACTCGGGAAAAAAAACACGGGCGCCGCGCGGGAACGGGCAAAGACCATCTTCTTCGAACCCGAGCGAGAAGGACACATGGACAAATTATTCGGCGAACTGAGGCTACGCTACGCAAACCGACCCGGAGGCTACACGCGCGTGCTGAGGCAGGAACCCATACGGGAGGACCAGGCCCCCTCCGCGATTTTGTCGCTGGTGGACGGGCCGCGGGACATGCGGTTCAGCATGACGGCCAAGGCGCTCGTGCGGCAACGGCGCGAGAACCTCGACATGTCGGAGATGATGGCCGCGAACATTCGCAAGGTGACCCGGTTCCGGATCGACGGGGAGAAGGCGCTGGAAGACGAGGTCGACAGGCTAGAGCGGGACCAGAACGAGCAGCTCGAGAAAGAGAGGAGGGAGTTTGAAGAAGACGGAACCCTCTATGAGTGGGTGAGGGGTGAGAAGAATCGCCCCAGCGACATCAAAGGAAAGGAGAAGAAGGGTCCGGGACGGTTGAGAAGGCAGAGGGTCGGCGAGGATAAGGAGGTTCCCTCATAGAGTTCTCCGCCAACTTCTTGGGTGACAAAGGGGATTTTTCCGAATTGTATTATCACCGCGGATCGACCTTCTGTGGTTCCCTCGGGCCGTTGTCCTGCAATACTTGAAGAGATGCATTTGTATAGCCCGTGGTGCGGGAATCTCGAGGGGCGTTAGATGCCGCCAACAATCTACATTCCACCAAATCCACCAATGTCAGGGGGTATCAAGCTCTTCTCTATCCCAGTACTTGCTCTCGTACCAAAGGGCAGCCTTCCTCAGCGAAGCTCGATAGCAGACTCTCGTCAGTTCAAGTTTCATCACAGCTGCAAGTCCTCATCCCGATACTGCTCCCTCACAACCCTATAAAGGTATCCCGTGCTGACAACAGCCGGCACTTCATTGGTAACGAACAAATCCACATCGCCTGCCTCGACGTAATCATATAGCGGATTCCTCGTTCCTTCTTCCAATCCGTGGCGCAATTCGCCTTCTTGGAAGGGTACCACCTTTCCTGCCTCACCATACTCGATCAATTTGAACGGATCATAAGGGTACGCTGGAGAGAGTTTGTATGTTGCTGCCAACACGATGATGGGAATACGGTGGAAGTTGGCAGCTTTGATGACGGCCTTGCTTCCCGCCGCAGCAACTATGGAACCATTCGTTAAAACGGCGTGGGCGTCTAGTATGACCTTACTTGCGCGAGACATGACTGCGAAGATGGCCGAGTCGGGGATCACCACGACCGTAATACCAGCCGAAGTCAATGTCTTTGAGAAAGTGTCGTTAGGCAGATTGTCCTCGTCCTCTGTGACCACATCTTGGTTCCCGGTCAGCAAAGCGTGTGTCTTGAGGTGATTGTTGGGATATGCTTCGGCATGGACAACTGTAAACTTCCGTTTTGAGGCGGCCCTAAGGAGGAACCGCTGGACCGTCAAGGAAGAGGAATATGTGAAAATGGTTTCTTGTGGATGAATTTGGTCGAGCGCAGCAGTGGCGATTTCATCGTCGGCAGCGTTGATCTCATCAATGATCTCCTTAATCCCTTTTATCACTTCGGGACGGATATTCGCCTGAAATGTACCTGCAGGATGCAGTTGTGGGGTAGCTTGCCCGCTGCGACTCAAGGGCGAGTCATTTGGACCACCGAGCATTCGCATTGTCGGATGGGCATTGATGCTGAACATAGACGTCACAGGGCGGGCAGTCTCTGGGGCGCCGGTGCGCGAGCTCAGTAAAGGGGGACGCGGACTTGCAGTGCCTTTCTGAGGTGAAGGACTGGAAGAATCACCATTAACGACCGTATGGGAGGTGTTTCTTGATTGCGGGGGTTCCAACATCGAAGGAGATTCAATATCAGCATCACCACCAACAGAGCTCATCTCATCTCCAACTTTTGTGCCCGCAGCATCATCTTCGTCTTCTTCTCGTATTATTCCCAAGACTCGGCGAACAATGTTCCCAACGGCGGGTTCGTGAGGAGCAGCTTCGATGAGCTTTTTGCCAACCTCTCTGACTCTCTGGATCAGTCTGACCGAGTCGGCTTGTTTGGTCAGTTCAACGGTGCGGAGCAGAAGGAGTGTAGTAACAACAGCGCATCGTTTGGAGCCTCTTATTTGCCGTCTCTTAAGCAATCTGCACATGCCTTAGCCCAATTGTTCGTGGGAGGAATCAGGATCGGGAACCCACGAGACCAGATATGTTGTTGAAGTTTCGAGCGGCTCGGTGGATAGGACTCTCTGGAAACTGGCAAACCCAGGCGTCCAAGACGCTGCCGTGGGCGCCATGTTGCCGGGTCTGTAACCAGAACAGAAAAACCGCCTGGGGTCGCGGGTACAAAGGACTGTGACAGTGGTCTCCCGTCCTTTTGAGTAGACCTGTCTTGGGCTCAGCCCCTGTGGACGTCAGTGATGTGTGGTTTCAGATTGACAACGGTGTTGGGTGTGAGTGAGTACACAATTTTTGGGTGGTGGAGGAGGTGGTGGTGGTGATGGTGGAGGGAATGACTGACTCGCATGCCGCCATTTTCGACAGTCGAGACACGGAAGCCGCCCGCGTCGTTGGCTGTTGCTCCCGCTCCCGAAACTCCCACTTCGAACTCCCACTCCCAACCGACTTGTGTCGTGACCGGCTTCTTTGATCGGATCAGCTGCGCCAGCCACCACCCTTGCATCAACCAGGACTCATCCTGACCCGAGCTTAATGACCTTGTCCTTGACCTTGACCTTGTCGTCTTCTTTGTGGCCGCAAACGTCTGGTGGACCTCAAAGGGACTCTCACCACAACATTGAATTGGACTATGTGAGCATATCGTGTCATCTCATCGCTATCCACCATTCTACGCTATCCCGCCACTCGCCGATTCTCCCCGCCATCGCATAACACCGTCATGCGATCGCCGTCGTGAAAACCAAAAGAGCCTGTTGCCCCGAAGCCGATGCGTCGACCGCTACCAAGTGTCCGCGCCTGTGCCTCTGGTGGGAGATGAACTCCCTCAATCTCATCTCCTCCCGAGTCATCGGACAGTCTCAATCATCCTCACGCCCTCGGTCCCGGTCTCAAGGTGAACTTCTGAAGAAAGAGTCGGGCGATGAGGAGTTGAGAGGCAGATCTTACGGCGCGGAGCTCACGGCTGAGTTGAAGAATGAACCAGACGCTGCTTTCTCAGACAAGCTATCCACGGAAGCAACTGCCGAAGACGATGAACCTGTCATCAAATCGGAGGATGAGAAGCAGCCGTTCCTGTACGGGGGCGAGAAGGAAGATGGAGCTTCGACCGCGGAAGGCTGGCGCCTGCTAGTCAAGAAGCTTACAGATGCTATAACCACCATTCTGGCCGCAATCGGCGCCCCGATCGTCTACCTCGCAAAGTGTTTTCGGGATCAGAACGGACAATTCACCATGGTTCCTAGATCACCGCGAAGGGAAAGCACTGCCCGTGCAATGGGGCTCTCAAATGCTGCCCCGGACGGCACTTGGGCCTATGAGAAACCTACACACCGCGCGCTCCAAGAGGCGAAGCTGCGCCACTCTTATTCGAGCGACTCCTTAGACACCACCACTTCAGATTCGGATGCAGAACAGCGCAAGGCCGAGCGTGCCCAGCTACGCTCAAAGCCGAAGCGCGATATGACGGTGCGGGAGGACTCAGAAACCCGACGATCCTCCATCAGGATCAAAGAGCAAAATGACCTTGCTCACAAAAGGCGGAAACAAAAGAAAGCTGCCAGTCCCTTGGCCGATTCGACACCATTGACCGTTGACAACATCAAGTCGCCGCGATCGCCTTCTCCGTCCCTCAAGATCACCAGATATCCTCACGCGCCCCAACCGCCTCGGCCCCTCGTTCCTCGACGGCAACCTTCTTATGCCAACCTGGTTCCTCGATCTCCCACCCGCCATGGACCGCCGCTCCAGCAGAAAACGCTGATCTTGGACCTGGACGAGACCTTGATCCATTCCTTGGCCAAAGGAGGTCGGATGTCGTCAGGGCATATGGTGGAGGTCAAGTTGAATGCCCCCGTGGCTTTGGCACCTCCTCAGCCTGGCCAAGCGGCGCCTGTGATTGGACCCCAGCATCCCATTCTATACTATGTGCACAAGCGACCTCACTGCGACGAGTTTCTGCGAAAAGTTGCCAAATGGTACA